TTGGCACAAATTCGATACATCAGAAACAAATAGCTGCAATTTTCATAATTTTCACAAAAATGAAAATGTTGGATCGTCAATCCCTAGAGAATATTGTTTACTTTTGAACTTCTCTTGCCATTTTTGTTGCAACTAATCCTGTTTGGTTGGAATCATGCACACCGACAGGCAATGTAAAAAGAAGTTGTGTAAAAGGATGCCGTTGAAAAGTTAAATAAGAGCCCTCTTTTTTTCTCTTTTAATGTTGCTTTTTATAGCTCATAATGCGTTAAAATAAACCACAGAAGCTCATGTCAATCAAATATGTACTTTTTCTTCTACTAGCCTTCCAAAGTATTCGTAATTTTTGAGGTAACCCGTCAAACTGTCCTGCCCTCTTAAAGAGGTTTTGGTGCAAAGAGCTGTCAAGTATCAATGCCGCGTTACTAAAAATCGGGAAATCTAATATAGGGTGTACCAAATTCAAATATCAATACTTCGAGAGAGGACTAAAGACAAATTTCTTTTCAAGATTTGCTCCGTTTTTATTCCGTTCTCGAGAAAATCGTAAAGAAAAGAGTGTGCGAGAACCTGATGAAATTTCGAGATTCCCGAAGGAATCGGGTTTCCCGAAAAACGTCGAGATTCCCGAAAATTTCGAGAACCCCCGCTACCGTTTCTCGAACTACTCTACAATACTGTATAACAGCCTACGAAATATGTAAATACACAGTTCAATTTCTTCTGCCAGTGAAGTTATTGGAAACACGGGTTCTAAGAATCTGTGTGACCTGATGTAAACGAACGTGTGACTGCGTGCTCTGTACTTGGACATTATTTACGCTGTCGAGCAGTATCGCTGTGAAATTCGGAAAGCTCAGACGTATATTTCAAAATCTGTGTAAATTTAATAAGGATTTAAAAATCTTTAAAAAAAATGTCGAGTGATAGTGAGAGAGTAAAGTTGTGGCAGCAGGAAGTAGTGAAGAAGATATCGTGTAAAGGAAGAAGGTAAGGAGAAGCTCTGTTTAGGAACATTTTTTCAGGAAAAAGATGATACAATTCCGGAATGCATACATTGTAACCATGAATTTAAAGCTAAGTATGCAAATGCTACTGGTTTATTACGCTATTTGAAGCATATGCGTCCAAACATAAGTACATGTACTAGAAAAGAAACTGAATCGATATAAAATTTGTCGCGTGTACAAAATGATACGCGAAAGAT